AACTCTAGAAGACTCGAGAAATTCAAAAAATTTTCAAGTCCTAGTCACTGATACACACAGAAAACTTCCAAAAAATTGCCCTCCGCAATACATGGTAACTGAGAAGGTTTGGTTATGTCCTATGGCACCTGAAATTGATTTCAGTATTACCACCATCCCTTGCCTGCCTCCTTCCTCCCTTCGCCTTCTGTGCGCAGAACAAGAGTCCTGATTAAAGGAATAACAGACTCCAAATATGCCTAGATCCTCCTGAGGGACAAACCCCTAACTGCCTCTCCCTCCCCACCTCAGATTTCCACCCCGGAGAGAGCCTCCGGGAAGCCTCAGTGCCTTCGGCCCCCCTCACCACCACCACCCAGCCTGCGTCTCTCTGTTTCCACCTCCCAGAGAGACAAGGCCATCTGGGAGAGATCGATTTGCACATGCAATGAACTCTGCGGTGACGAATCACGCTGCCCCTCTCCCCAAATCAGCCCCCAGCAGTGACTAACGGTCAGTGTGCCTTGCGACATGCAACCCAGACCAAAAGGCTCTGCTGCCCACTATCCCTCACTCAGTAGGACCTGCCCAGGCACTGACGCCCTAGAAGCTGCCTCCAGTTGGATCTGGACAAAGAGGTATATTGTCTGTGTCACCCTGACCCTTGAACTTGTGCTAAGACCGTGCTTTGGTCTGTGAATCCTGGCCAGTGCTCATCCGCTCACCAGATGCACGAACTTAACACTTCTCTAAATAGTCCGGGTTTGTTTTTTCTTCGCTGGGCAGTGATGATCCCTACCTCACCCCGGTGCCATGAGGAGGAGCACAGGTGGAAGCTCCAGCGAGGGGTCTTTTCTGCAGTTGATACTTAATAAGTATCAACCAAACCTCAACTTTTCCAGCTGTACGCCTGGAGTGCGCACCCTTTGCAGTCATAGACAAGAACGACCTCACACAAAGCACCTGTCAACCACAAGGTTTTGCCAGTATTAGTTTTAAGGAGCCACAGATTATCTAGGAGGAAGCTAGACAGGAGACGAAGGGCAAATGACCCAGGCCTAGAGAGGGGGGTAGAGGGTGAGGAACCCAAGAACCGTCTGTGGGAATTAAAGGGAACCACACCATAGGAAGGTGAGTTCAGGGACGCCCCTGGGCCGAGGTCTGAAGAACAGCGGTAGAGCCCGGGCTCCGGCAGCCGTTGATGGGACAGTGCGGCCTGGATTCTACAGCTGCACCTGGAAACAAAGGGAACATTCTCCCACCAGGACCAGAAACACTGAATTAGCTCTGACTCAACTGTGCCGGAAACAAGGTCAAAGTAGGCAGAGAGACGTAACTTCTGTCAAAGCCTGGGCTAGGAGCCCATGAATCTGACAAGGACCCCAAGGGACCTGTAGGAACTTGGCAGACCACACAAACAGGTGACGCTGAGGCTGTAGAAGAGAAGCAGGTGGGAAGTGCTTACAGAGTATAAGTGCATCACCTGCCTGGTGACAATGCCTAAAACACCGCCACATGGCCCACAGGTCCCAAGTTCATGCCCACTGCTAGAACAGCCACAGATTTCCTACTTTATATGGAGTTTGGGATCTAGACTCTACACTGCAACACACTACAGATAGTCCCCAGCGTAGGATGGTTCGACTACAATTTTTTGACTTTATGTGAAAGTAGTGTACGTTTAATAGAAACCATACTTCAAACTTTGAATTTCGATCTTCTCCTGGGCTAGTGACATGCTAGATGATACTCTCTCGAAGTGCTGGGCAGCAGCAACGAGATGATCTTCCCCACCGCAGGCTGATGGAGAGTTCCGAGCTTGTTTCGGGTCGTCTAGGCCAAGCTAGGGTGTTCGGTAGGCCTCGCTGTGTTAAGTGCATTTTTCAGCTTAATATTTTCAATGTGAGGGGATGTAAGTTAAAGAGCACCTGTAGTTTCTCAGGGAAATGCCTCGGCAGGTGGGGTGTTGCTGACAACGAGGAAATGCACACCCGGACGAAAGGAGACAATTGGTGTAGCCTCTGCAATGGCCAAAGTCTGCTGTTTGGGGGCCTGGAGGTCCCATCGCTGATGTGCGAGAGGCCCCACATGGCTCTGACATTTCAGTTCAATCAGCTAGACCATCCTTCATGACTAAGTTATGAATTAAAAAAAAAGAAAAGCCATGAACATGGGATCATAAAATATTTAGAGATATTTTCCTACAAAAAAGGGAGCGTATCCTAGTTCCAAAAGATGTCACAACCATCTTCCGAGGTGCCATTCTCACCGGTCACTGTGATAAGGGTCCAGCCCGAGGAGAGGAGGCATGACTGCAAGCTGATGGCGTGAATGACACAAGCCAGGCTGACGTCATCCCAAAGCAGAGGTCGCCTGTTCGGACACAGTCACCACCACGGCTCAGGCTCCCCTTGTCACGTGCAGCCAGCACCCATTCTGGTAGGAACAATGACACCAGCCAGGTCTCATCGAGCCCATGAAGCCAACAGCATACAATTATGCAGCCCCAAATGGGGACGCCCAGGACAGACCCAGCGTCTCTCCGAAGTGCCGTGGAGGTCTTCGAGGGCTTGCCCAGGACCCGCAGAGCCCTGAGACAGAAGACGCCAGGTCCCTCTCCCGTCGGACCTTTGCTTGGTTCAGTGGGTACCGCCATGTCTCCCCACACCTGCACCTGTTTCTCATGTGCAAACAGCAGGTGCCTTCCGGCCTCATTCCTGAATGACTGGTGAGGACGAGACCAGCATCCAGTTCTCCCCAGGCCGCGGAAGCGTCGTAGAACTCTGTCATGGCCATAGCCGTGGCCCTGACGTGGGGCTGATAAAGGAATCACACTGAAATAACTGAACATTTCCCAGTGGCTAAATTAACCTTACAGATAAGCACCAAAACACTGGGTTGGAAGAGATTTTTATCTAAGGGTCAATTTCCTCCCTTCGTTACACCACGTTTTTTTTATCACAAGTTGGAATATGGACATAAGAGTATTTTAGTGCCCAAATGCCTAGAACAAAGCACCTCATCACCACCAAAGGCAAATGACACATAAAACTGAACCGTGGACATCACCTATATTGCCTTGGGTTTGTGTACTCTTCCTTCCTGTGTGGATGAGAGGCATTAAAATACTAGAAACTTACACAATCGACTCATTAAATCAAGGACACAAGAACAATCACTAAATAATACAGTGGAAGAAACAACTACTCCGAAAAACCTTGGCCAAAGATAGTTACTTGAGCAAAGGACGAGGGGTCGCTTGCACTGGCTGTTCTTCTCATATTCCCTGGGGTTCTGAAATACATTTTTAAAGTATTTCAGTATATCTTTCTCGGAAAGATACTCAGCTCTGAAACTCTCTGTTGTAACCTGGTAAAGAAAATTAGGTATTTCAGGAAAGTAGGATGCAGGTAGATGTGACCACAGATTCTGAATTCAGTGTGAATTTTTACCTAATTTTTGTCTCCCGCTATCCTCAACCAAAAACGCACACACGCATATATACACACACACATATATACACACATATATATTTTTTAAAGAAAATGTAAAGGAGACTATCTTAAAACAACGGCCACATTGTCTTAGAAGATTGCATTTTCATAGCCTTGAACTCTGCTACTGTGATCTTCAGGGAAAAGGCCTTGGTGGTTTGGTTGTCCTCGTTTGACACACTTGCCACAAGCCTTTCACACACAGAAAGCCAGAGTCGTGTATAAATAAGCGTCCAGGGAATCACTTTTGAAATACCCAACCCAGCGTTTTCAGAAAGCACTCTCGATCAGAGGCCCCTCCGCCACTGAAATCACATCTCCTGGCCAGATGCCCGTCGGAACGTATTTGAAGAATTCAGAGGCCACTCTGTGAAAGGCAAACGGGCCTGACTCCGGGCCAGTGCTCAGGCAGGGAGCCGCCGTCCTGGCAGCCCAGGGAGTCCCTGGGCCGTCCCAGCGCCCTGGCCTTGGGGTGGTTCCCCGGCCACAGGAGGAATCAGGCAACCGCCCAACTACGCACAAGTTTTCATTTCCTCCCCGTACAGACTGGAGGCCTGGCAGCCCTGTCCTTCGTGACCCAGTTTGAAGCAGGAAGTGGAGCCCTGTTCCCTGTGCCGTGACCCCTCCAACTAAAGAGAGGCCCGCACAAACTCTGACTGCGGCCCGTGGGCTCCATACTGGACCGGCTGCATTCCCATCTTTGTGCAGCATGAGCTGACTCCACTTCTCAGGCACAGGCTGGGGACAATGGTCTTCTCCTTTGAAGCCAGTTTTAACCCCAGGTTTGGGGAATGGGAATGAGCTTCTATTATAATGGCCCTGCACAGCTAGAGGCAACGCTATTTCCTCCAGTCTCACAGGAAGTGGCGAGGGGAGGCAACTCCAGGCAAACGGCCACTAGGAAAGCGTGCACTTTGGTGCGCTTTGGTGATCGGAGGAAGAACTTCCAGGCCCAGCCCAGCCCACATGTGTTCCGACCGGAAATCAAATCCACAGCCCTCCCTTCGGTCTGCGGGACGATGCCCCAACGACTGAGCCACACAGGCCGGGGCTCCAGCAGCCCTCTGACACCCCCACGCGGCGTCCGCTCCCACCGCCTGTGGGCCTGGCCGGGCGCACTCACACCTGCAGACTGCAGACCCTGTGTGTGAGACAGGCGGGGCCGTCCCCTCCCTGGATGCTTAGGACAGTCGTCTGCTCAACAAATATTTTTAAATAGACTTAATTCCTGCTCTGCCCGTGGTCGAGTTGTGGAACGGAAGGAGATTCCGTTTCTTTTCTGACAGCTCCTTGGCACCTCCGAGACTCGTAGCAGGTAAGTTCCAGCATCAATTTTTGAAAGCAGAAGCCCCGCCCCTAGGTCCCTGATGTTCGCAGGTCACACTCTGCCTGGCTTCTCGTGCGAACGTCAGAGCGGTCACGCCCATCAGCAAGCTCCGGTCCCATGCTCACCACCCCAGACCCAGCTTAATTCAATTCTGCTCTGGCAATAAGACGTTCGCATGCAAGTTCCTGAACGTTTCATACCTGCCGATGTTGGAACGCGGGTTCCTTGCAGCCTCTCTGTTCTATTTTCTTCTGGAGCCGTAGTTTGGCCAACCGTGCCATCTCCTTTACAAGTGCTGTCTCTGTTCACGAAAGAACGTTTTCCAGCCAGAATCCCTTCCTTCCGCACATGAAGACACGTATGGTGTATACGCCTCATGCATAAGCCAATACAGGGTCTCTCTGCCCCCAGGCAGGGTATCCAGGTGGGGAGTGGAGGGAAGGTTGCTGGGCCTCCCTCCTCACAGGGACATCAGCCTAGGGACCCAGGACGTGCATGGCCAGTCGCCTCGCAGCTGCCAGGGTCTACCAGTCCAGGCAGACCACAGTGGAGCCTTTTACTCAAGGAACTTTGTTACGCCCCCTCTCGGCTCCAGCCTCCCAGCCTGCGAGCTCACATACACACACACCCTCCCTCTCTCCCTCCACCTGCCAGGGAGCAAGAAAGCTATTCCAGCTGCGGGCGACCAAGATCAGAGTGGCAGCTGCAGCCAGGACGGCCCTAAAACACAGGGAGTGGACAGCGGCCATTTCTCAACAGGAAAAGGTATGTCCTTCCCCCCGCCCAGGGGAGCACAAGTTCCTCTGCAAAGGGAAGAGAACACGGGCATGTCTGTCAAATGAATTTTAGGGCCAGAACCAAAGAGGTTCTCATCTCCTGAAAGCTACTGAGTTTGGGGTGGAGCCGACAAAGCACTCCTTCCCCGGCACAAAGAAGTGCCATCGTGCTCGCTCACGCACAGGGAGGCAGCTGGGAGGGAGGGCGCGGCCGGCTCACCGGGTCTGGTGGAGTCATTCTCCGAATTCACGTCACAGCTTCAGCTGCCACATTGACCTCAGAGTCACAAGTCCCCTCCTCACTGCCTTCTAGGTAGTGTAGTTCACGACAGCCCGCCTGTGACAACGGAAAAGATAAATAACAACAAAAGAAAGAAGGAAGGAAAGAAGGCAGGAGGGAGGGAGGGAGGAAGGAAGCAGGGGAGAAAGATAAAGAGAATACGTTACAAAAAGGGGAGGGGTTGGGGGAAGGGAGTCAAAAGGTGCAAACTTCCAGTTATAAAATAAGTCCTGGGGATGAAGTGTGCAGCAGGGTGGCCGTAGTTACTGACTGTGTGCTCCTGTTTGAAAGTTGCTGAGAGAGTAGACCTTAGAAGCTCTCGCCCCAAGAAAAACAAAATTCGTAACTATTCGTAACTATGTGTGACGGTAGCTGTTAACTAAACTTACTGAGTGAACATTGTGCAATACTTACACCTGTAAGTGGAAACTAATCAACAAAACAAACAAGCAAGCAAAACAGAACCAGGGAAAATGGGGAAGGGCCGTCAAAGAACATGTATCAAGGACCCATGGACAAAGCCAAGGGGGGTAGGATTGAGGGTGGGAGGGGGACAACTGTACTTGAACAACAATAAAAAAATATCATTATGTTGTGCTCCTGAAACTGATATAATGTTATATGCACATTATATCTCCATTTAAAAAAAACAAAAGAAAGCGAGCTGGCAAGTTTCTAAATCTCTGCCACATGCAGACTTGAACACACGGGTAGGATCCTTCCCTCTTCTCCAGAAATCGAGCTGGTTGCAGGCAGAGGTGTCTGCAGGGCCCTCCTGCTGACAGCGGCCCCCCAGGAGTCACCCGAGAAGGAGGTGACTTCTGGGAGGGCTTTACGGAGACCCCTCTCTCTCGGCCGGGCACCACACCCTCGGGCTCCTGACCTCCTCCCGTGGACATGGCCATGGAGTGATCACAAGGTTTGGGGACAGAAAACTGATGCCTCATGCCCTTACTCTTTTCTTCCTGATGATACGACCAGGAGCCGCTCCTTCAGCTGCTCTGACTCCAGGGTCTGTCAGTGGTGGCCCAGGGGAAGCAGGACGTATGACCGGAAAAGCCCACTGGAACAAATACCTGTGGACCAGGGGACCGGGTGTAGAACACACCGCCACCCTTCACTGACTATCACATCGCCCTTTACCTTGATCCGTCAGCATAAACATGCAAGGGGCAGACTGGCGAGCACACCCCACATCCGCACCCGGAAACCGAGGCACATTCCCTTCGAGGAGCCCTAACTTTCCAGAGCAATCTTTGCTCATCTCGGCAATGACTGGGAAGAGTCCAAAGACAGCTGGCGAGCTGAGAGAAGGCAGCAGGCACCTGTTGCATTTTCGCTGTTCTGTTTTGTTTTGTTTTTTATTGATAGTCCCTTACTGGTCCTGCTTCCCTGAGTGGTCACCACCAGGTGGAAAAGGGGAGGAGAACCAGGGGGCATGGGAGGGCTTCTCCACAATATTCCATTTATACAGGAACTAAACTGACAAGCACAGAGGCACTGTTGCAGTTAGAAGTTGGCAGCATGGGAAAGGGGAGGAACAGGTGAGGAACTGGGGTGTCGTTAATAAAATACAGGCTCCCCCAAAGCGGGTGCCTGTGGGTGCTTGGTCTGCCTCAACCCCAGAGGAATCAGAAGATCAAAAGTGGTTTGGGAAGGCCAGAACCGTCAGGGGCGGGGGGCTGTTTGGCAACTGGGTGAGAGACTGCTCTCCCCTACTGGGATGCCCGCAGCCCCTTCACTCTGGCAGGAAGGGGGCAGCCTGTAACCCCAGAGGCAGGTCTAAGCTGCCAGATGCCCCAGGCAGGGGGCTGGAGGGGCTCACAGTGGCTTGCCCTCTAGGGAGATGGCAACCCCCCACCCCGTGGCCTTCCTGCTGGAAGGCAGGGCCCTCGGCCTCCTTGGAGCAGTCGTCAGCTTCTTCTCGACGTAGGTCATTTTGTTCTTCAGGGACTGGAAGACCAACACGAGGCCCTCCTTCTTGCGCTCCTTGGTCTGGCCCACGTCACAGGCTCGGACGCCCTCCACCAGCACCAGGCTCTCCCGGTCTTCGCTCAGCACAGCCTTCGGGTGCTTCTTCACCCCCTCTGGGGTCAAGGGCCCACGCACCTTCGTGTCACTGAACACGCTGACGACTCCATCGCGACACCCACACCAGAAGCGAAAAGGAGATGACAGGGGGACCCCGAAAAGACGAGAGCCGCTAGCTGCCGCCAGGATCCGACTCTGCTGGCGTTTTTTAATTAAGTCATTGACGAGGCTCAGTTTGGGGATGTTTTTAAAACAGCTTCATGGACACGTAACTGACCCGCCACGAAGTGCACGCAGGAAAGTGTACGGCTGACAAGTTTCGGGCGTGTGTGCACGAGTGGTGTCCACACCCTGATCCCCAACCCCGAGGATGCGTCACCTGGCAGCCGAAAGGGTGTGACTAACACCAGGTTCTTTTTTTTTTTTTAATTAATTGCACTGGGATGACTTTGGTTTAATGAGATATAACTTTCGAATATATAATTCCATAATACATCATCTGTACATTGTGTGCTCACCGTCCAAAAGCCCAAAAGCTAGTTTCCTTCCGTCACCACATCTTTGACCCCCCGAATCCCATCGATCACCCCCACATCCCACACCCCGGTGGTAACCACTGTGTGTTCTCCCGACTGAACACCTGGGCCTGGGTGAGCTCTCGCACGTGGTGGTAAGTGTACACTTGATGCTTAAGAAGCTGCCATTTTCCGAAGGGCTCACGTCTTTCTGCATCCCCACCAGCAGGGCACGAGGGTCTGACGCGTCCCCATCTCTGCCAGCTCTTGGTGGCATCACGCTTCCTAATTTGAGCCGCCCGAAGCGGAGGCAGTGGTGCCGCACCGTGGTTTTATTTGCATTGCCTGCATGGCCAACGATGTTGAGCATCTTTTTTAGTGAGGCATCTGTTAAAATCATTTGCCTGTTATTTTTTAATGGGGTTGTTTTTTTTTAAACATTCAATGTGAGAGTTCTTCATTCTTTACACAAGTCCTTTATTAAACATATGCTTTACAAATATTTTTCTCCCACTCCCTGGCTTGTCTTTTCATTCTCTAAACAATGTCTTTCCACTAGAAGAAGCTATGAATTGTGTTGAAGTCCAAGGCAAGACCCTTCTGCGTCCTTTCCCCAGCACCTCACGCAGGAGGAGACTTTCCTGCTTGGTGGAGACGGGCGCTATTCCCAGCCCTGCTGAGTGTCGTGGACCCTGTCCCCGCTAATCCCTCATGTGGTTCTCGCCTTGGTCTTGTGTAGGTCTGCAGCTCTCCAAACGTCCCTCTCTCGCTCTGCAGTGCCTTCCTCTCGTCCTCTGTGCTGTGGCCGCTGCCTGGTGAGCTTGTACTTCCTGGGCACCCAGTTCCATCTCTTCACCTTGGGGCGTCGCTGGGCTCCTCCCGTGCTGCCCCTTCCTATGCACAGTCTGGGCTTGCTCGCCCAGCGGCGAGCTGTGGTGGTCCCGGGGCTCACCACCTGTGTTTCCCATCTCACGAGGATCGCTAGCATGCTGTCAGGAGGAAGGGTGGTGCACACTGGCCTTTACCTTCTAGCCGTCTTTCACTGCCTCTACCACACGGCCTATGTGTTGGGGAGCTCTTAGAACAACACGCAGAAGACCTGGCCCGGGGCGTGATGCAAGAAGTCGCCAAACGAAGGGATTGGACTGAACAAGATCCTGTTTCCAAGAGTAGCCTATGGACTCTGTTACATTAAAAAAATAACTCATATTTTTAAATGGGTCCGTGTTTTGGTTTTTGGAATTTTATTTTATTTTATTTATTTTATTTTATGTTATTTTTTGGCTGGTGGACAGACTGTTATACTTGGGTGAAGAATTTCAATGGAATTACATATAACTTAATATAAAATGATCACCTCTGGTGTTAACCCGCATTAACTACTGACTGTCCTGAGACCACTGAGCGCTGTTGTCTAGAGGAACTTGCAAGGCTCCTTCTGGTTTTACTGAAATGCCATCTAATTACAAATTAGCTGTAGATACCAGGTGCTCCCGATGAACTGAAAATACATATCTGATGTGTGGGAAACTTCCCGGGTCTCCTCATCTATGAAGCAGATGATTATATATGAATGCTTAAAGGAATAAGAAGAGTGTGATTTTTTTCCTCTTCAACTTGAATGTTATCCTTGTAGATTGCATGAATGAGAGGTTTCCCATAGTTCCATCAGAATTCTTAAGCATAAGAGAATATGATACAAAAAACAGATGCTGGATTAGTGATAAAGAATGCTTTTAAAGCTATTTTAAATGTGTTTTAATTTATAAGACATTTCTTAGGAAGGTGTTGGTTATCAAACTTCCTGTTCTGATCTGCAGTAAAGGTAGTCTTGGGAATTTGCAGGTACTTCAGATTCTCAAAACTGAATGAAGGGGAGCGCTGCATCACACTCCCGCTGTTCCCCTGGAGCAGGGGTGTCAAACTCATCTTCACCGGGGGCCACATCAGCCTCGACTTTGCTTCCAAAGGGCCGGGTGTAATTACAGGACTGTATAAACGTAACCACTCCTTAACTAGGGGCAAGGAAGTCAGCGCTGCCACTGGGTAGAAACCAGGTGCCGTGCCAGATAAAACAGGTGGAGGGCGGGATTCAGGCCGCGGGCCTCGTGTTTGTCACCTGTACTTTAGTGGCAAACACCAAAACTCTGAAATCAGGCTCCTTCCAGCACATTGTTTCCAAGACTACAGACAGCGATTTCATAAACATATCCTGTAATAAAGATTGTATCACTGTCAATTTTTTAAATAATAATGATTCTTAAACCAGCCACCTGTCAGGCTACTCAACAGCTAGAAAGTGCTTTGGCCACTCGGTGGCCTCTAACCACCTGCCGGTCACTTCTAGGACCACCTTCCGGAGACAGCAGAGCATCCGCTGTCGCTTCCAAGAAACTCTTCTTCTTTGAATTTGGCCTCCGGAATCAGCTACTCCACAAGGAGACTGTCCGCAGTTCCACAGCCGATCCTCTCACAGGTGCCCGCCGCCAACGCCTGGACACACATGCACGCACACACTCACACCTCCAGGCACAAGCGCAGGCTCACACGCACACATGCACACACCCCTCCAGCTGCCCCGAGGCTGAGAAGTGAGGAGGAGGAAAACTCCAAGGTTCCTGTTTCTGACCTACGGAGCCCCACTCAGGATCTGGAGCAAAAGCTGGGGGTGGGTGCTGGAGCCTTGGCTGGCCTTCCTCTGAGAACCCTCCCGGCTGTGACAGCTCCGTCAATAGCCCATTGTTGGTTGTGCAATGAAGACGATAAGAGAGCAAAGAAATGTAGCCTAAAATGCCAAGAGGCAGGCAGCTACTATCTTAGATCTTCAAGAGCCAGGCTCTTGCCAAAGCTCTCTCCATCCTGAGGCAGGTTGTGCTTTGGGATCTGAAATTCATGGGGCAAAGGCCTCCCTGCCCCTCTGCTCCCCCCAGCCCTTCCCGTCCAGCACCCTCCCCACTCTCTCCCTGCGCTGGTCTCCCCTCTTCTTTCTTCCTCTTTGGCCTTACAGTGCTTCCAGCTGCCTCCCCCTGGGTGGAGGGCGGGGTCTGGTTCTACCACGGCCCATAGGGCTGGCCCCAGTCCTGCGGTGGCGCTGAGCCCTACCAGTAGGTGAGCATTATTTCACAGAAGCCCAAGGAAGGAGATGACCTTCCGCACACCTGTAGAGCAAAAAGCTCCCTTTTCATATATTTATCAAAGAAATTTTATGCCCTGGCTGGTGTGACTCAGTGGATTGAACACTGGCTTGCAAACCCAAAGGTCGCCAGGGCACGTTTCTGGTGTGCAGCCAGGTCCCTAGTTGGGGGCGTGCGAGAGGCAACCGATTATAATGTATCTCTCACAAACATCAATGTTTCTCTCCCTTTCTTTCTCCCTCCCTTCCCTTCTCTCTAAAAATGAATACATAAAATCTGTTTTTAAAAAAAGAAAATGTTTCCATACTAGGCTAGATGTTGACAAGGGTCCCTCCCAGCTTCTAGGAGCTGCTCCGTGTCTTTCTGAAACTCAGGGAAATCGTCGTCAGGAGGCCCCTCTGAGTCAGAAGCCAGCCTCGACTCCACGGTGAAGACGGCACATCAGCTCTCCACACGCAGCTGACTCGGCAGCCTGCTCCCTGACACGAGCCCTTGTCACCTTGGAGGGACAGAAATCGATCACAAGGCTGGAGGCAGCTCACAAAGGTTCCCACCAATGCAGGAATCTACAGCAGCAGCAACACACAGCCCAAATTTAACTTCCCCAAGGAGAAAAGGCACTCTTTGCAATAAATCATATTTGACAGTCTTTGTCAGATGGACTGATTCTTGGAACTCAATTTGGAACCAGGCAGGAAAGGGAAGGAAGGAAGGAAGGAAGGAAGGAAGGAAGGAAGGAAGGAAGGAAGGAAGGAAGGAAGGAAGGAAGGAAGGAAGAAAAAAGAAGGAACTCTGAGACTGAGGAGACAAATGAAACGAGGAGATTAAGGAGCACACTGACCGTGCCTGCACTTTCATTCCTTCAGTCTCCCTGATGGGGCCCCAGATGGTACCAGACGAGAGGGAAGGCCAGGGCAGAATGAAGTCCCCTCAAAGGGCCCGTGGACATCAGGGTGGACTCCATGCAATTCTTCCATTTCTACGCAAAAAAAAAAAAAAAAAACCAGAAGGAGCCAGCCAAGTCAGAACCTGGAGGCGGGGCCTTCCTGAGACAGGTAAGAGAAAGAGCCAGGATGGAGCCCGGTGCTCAAAGACAGGAAGGTCAGAACGGCTCAGGCGGAGTGAGCAGAAAAAAGACCGGAGTGGGGAGGGCAGGCCAGCAAGGTGCAGGCTGCGTGGGGCCCGGAGGCCCAGGGGAAGGTGGACGAGTGCGTGTGTGTGCACGTACGTGTGTTTTGAGTGAAAGGGACTAATATGATCTGACAGGTTGAAAAGCTTGCTCTTGGGGACAGGGTGACCAATGAAGAGACCAATAAGTGAACCAAACAGGAAGTAAATACCACTCAGGTTAGAGGAGCATTGGAGACACACTGACATGGGGGGCAGAGAGTGAGGGGGAGAAATGGGAATGGAAACATATAATACACATTACACATTTAAAGTTAAAAAAGACACACTGAAACCAACACAACAATAATTTTAGCAAAAATCTACCTGGAAGTAGTTCGGAGGACCCCTCCCAAGGTGCTGGGGAGACATGTTCACAGAGAAGAGGGGGGAGCAAAGCAAGGACGTTACTGAGCAGCTGCAGCTCGGAGCCTGGTTTGGGACTGACTGTGCGTTGGCTTTGACTTTGCGACCTTGAGGCATTTACAGGCTGGAGTCTAATTTGCTGGCGTCAGCTGATGTTTAATTAATGCAAAAGCAGCCCTGCTGGGAGTAATGCCTAAGGGTCCCGTTTGGGCAACATCCTGAGAGCAGTTAACAGACACGGTTTTTCATGTTGAAAACCTGCTAAGAGAGTAGATCTCAAACGTTAACTATGAGAGATGACGGATGCTCACCAAATAGACCGTGGGCACCATGCCACAGTACATGCCTCAGTCTAGTCATCGTGTCGTACGTTTTACACCAATACACTGTTACAGGTCAGTTATATCTCAGGGAACGTGCAAAGGTTTTAGATACAGTTTTTAAAAGTTTGAAAAGAAAGTAGAGCCGTCAGAACTTGCTAAGCAATTGGCTACGGGGCAGCAGAAACAGAGAAGGACAGAGGAGGAGGCCCCTCCCAGGGGCCCCCTTTCCCAGGTTTGGGCGGGGCCCATTCCAACATTATTCAGACATCGTCCCCACTTACAACATCGCCAGGTCCACGTCATCTCACTCGACCACCGGCGGCCTCTTCTGACACAGCAGAAGGCACCCCCTTTGAATTTCTCTTCCCTCAGTGTCCCCGCCCTCCCACCCACCCTGTCTTGTCTTCCCTGCAACCCCACTCACTGCTCCAGGACCGGTCCCTCCTCATCCCTCCGACCCCTCAGTGTCCAGGGACCAAGGGCACAGGGCGCAGCTACTCTCTAGCCCTGTCGTCCCGGGTCCGATGCCACCTGACCCCAAGGTTTTACTTCCTTCATCTCTCTATCTCCTTCCCAACTCCACCCCTGAGTCCCCATGTCTTCCCTCCAACTCCCAACTCCACACCCCCACTTGCAAACTCAACAGGCACTTTCTGTGGCGGACACAGAATGCTCCACCCTCCGCCGGCTCCTCCCCTGCCCCAGCCCAGAGCAGCTCTGCGCTGGCTGGTGCTCAGACGACAAAACCTGGGGTCACCCTTGACTCCATTTATTCTTTTCCCTCATCCAACACCCTGGAAGTCGTGTCAACGCCGCCTTTAAAACAGACCCGGAGTCAACCATGTCCTGCCATCTCCACTGCTGGACACTGCTTGAAAACTCCAGTGCCTTTCCTGACTGGCGCCAACACCTCTCATGTGTGTGTGTGTGCATGCGTGTGCGTGTGCCGACATGTCTGACGATCCAGTCTACTCTCAACTCACAAGCCAAAGCAATGCTTTTAAACTACCAATCAGGTTGTGTCCCTGCTCCATTCAAAGCCCTCCACGAGTTCCAAGCTGGCTAGAACCAGGACTTGGGACAGATCCAAAGTCCCCACCACGATGCAGACCATTGAACGCGGCTTCCAGCAGCTGTGTCCCCAAGTCCTACTGCTCCCCCCACTGGCCCCGTTGCAGCTGTCTTCCCCCCCACGTCGGTCTCTGCCCTGTCCCCTCCACCAGGAAGCCTTTCCCCAGGTCTCTGCTCTTCCTCAGGTCACTGTTCCAGTGGATTGGGGGATCGCAGGCCCCTCCTCAGGCAAACTTCCTGGAACCTGCTTTCCAAAACAGCACCGTGTGCACACACGCACACGCACACGCATCGCCATCCTTCTCTCTGCCGACACACCTGGCTTTTTCGTATCACTCATCCCCCCGTGTATTATGAATTCATTTGCTGACCATTGTTATTTGTAAATTAAATTTTGTTTCTCAATTACAGCTTACATTCAGTCTGAGTTTATTTTTGTTCCGGATGTGCGCTGTTGCTGCTTCCCTTCTGTCCCAGTCCACTCACACAGAAGCATCGTGATGTGGAAACAGCATGGAGAGTCCTCAAAACATTAAAAGTAGAGCTACCATGTGACCCGGCAGTTCCACTTCTGGGCGTTCACCCAAAGAAACCAAAAACACTGATTTAAAAAGATACATGTACCCCTGTGTTCATGGCAGCAATGGCCAAGGTATGGAAGCAACCCGATTCATCCATTAATAGGCGAGTGGATAAAGAAGCCGTGGCACATATAAACGACGGAATATTAGTCAACCAAAAAAAGAATGAGATCTTACCATTCACAACAACATGGACAGACCTAGAGGGTATCATGCTCAGTGAACTACATCCGAGACGAAATCATATGATTTCACTTATACATAGAACTTAAAAAAAAATGAACACAGAAAGCAAAACCAAACTCATAGATATGGAGAACAAATTGGTGGCTACCAAATGGGAGGAGCCCTGTTTGGGGGTTGAACCAGGGAGCGGGTGAAAAAGGGGAGGGGATGAAGATGTGCCGATTGCCAGTTATAAAAACAGTCACAGGGTGTCAAGTACAGCATAGGACATACAGTCAGTAATATTGTGACAACTACAGGTGCTGCCAGGTGAGTACTAGACTTATTCAGGGGAACACTTTGTAGGTTACATAACTGTATAACAACTCCGTCACATGCCTGACACTAATATTGTATGCCAATGGCAACTGAAAAGTTTATATGTATATAAGCTCCATGAATGCAGAGATTTTGTGTCCGCTGCATCCAGAATAGAGACTGCCATATAGTAAGCTTTCAGCCAATAATTGTTGAAGGAATGAATCATACAGATGAGGTCACTAAGGGTCAGAGGGTATCGGTGCTTTTCCCAGGTTCTTCCAGCGGGGAAGTGGAAGAGCTGGAATTCTAATCTGGGCCTGTCTCACTTTGCCTCCCAGAAATCGTGACACAGAGGGGAACTTCAATAACGCGAGCCTTGTCCCATTCAACACGAATGCTATGCTCAGAGGTATCAAGTAGCACGCACACCCAAAGCCCCAAAATAGTCACAGCAGCCTTCTGACGACTTCCCCAGAGTCGCTCTGCCCTGAGGGGCCGATGATAAGAGTGCTTCTCACCCACCCACCACATTGTAAAGCGTGTCCTCATGCGGTCCTCTGCAATGCCTGGTATTAAACACAGCCAGGCACAGCCACTGCTCAGCAATCTAGAGCAAACTCTGATGCACACAGGGCGGGCCGCAGGAGCTGGCAACCACACAGGCTGATTTTAGAGGCCAAGGAAACTCAGTCCAAAAATATCCGTCCCACCCAGAAGTCACTGTGCCTGGAATTCCACCATGAGAGATTTCTGGGAGTGCAGGCACTCTCTCTGACTCTCAGTCACTTGGTTTTAGGTACAAAACCAGAAAATATCCAGCCATGTACTATAAAAAAATGCAGGCATGTATTGAAGTTGGTACAAGATGTAAGAAACATTGTACTCAGGACAGTGACACCTCAGTCCCCTTTACAGCAGGCGCCTTGGGACCTCACACAGTTCTCCCAGTCGACATCAGCTGCCCCATCATGTTTTCCTGAATTTTGTCAACGGTCTAAAATCTCTTCCCTTTCAAAAGTGATTTTAGTTTTGGGAAAAGCCAGAAGTCACAGGGCGTCAAATCGGGGCTGTAGGGGGCTGACTTACCTGGGTGATTTGATATTTCTTTAAAAACCTCTGTACGAGACGTGATGCACGAGCAGACACATTGTCAGGATGTCAATCACCAGTTGCCCACAGTGGTGGCCTTCTGAATCATCCAAGTAGTTTCCAGGGAGGAATGTTCAAGGTTAACATAAAATTTGATGCAGGTTCATTGCTGTACTTGTTCAGTCATTTTGAATGTGACAGCCACACAGTACACATGCTCACTCAATGGCATCTACTGCCCCCACTGACCAGTACAGTGAAGTCGTCACTGTTCACGCATGTGCATTCCAGTCCACTCTCCTTGGCTGCCAGGTTACATCGATGTTGTGCAAACCGTTCTTGTTATATTAACCATGGCTGGACTTTTCCCAGAAAGACCATATATACATACGTACATTTTTTAAAGACAACAAATAGTTGTGTGTAAGCTTTTTTACCCATTCCATGAGCTTATTTATTTCTTCTAGTAAATAAGTTGATCTCATTTACATTTATTATTAGACATGATCACAATACTATCATATATTTTTCATTTTTAATGTTTCATTTATATTCCCTTTGGTTTCTTTTCCTGTATGGTCTCAATTTTAGTTCTAATAGTGGCAATAGTTCTATTTTCAACAAGATGCTTAAACATCTATTTCTTAATTTCAGATATCAAATAGTATCTATTATCTCCCAACTAAGAAAGATAAGAAAATTAATGATCTTATAATCCCACCCTCCATTTTCTCTCCATTTATGCCTACCCCCTCCAAAAAAACATAAACTTTGTGTTGTTATGTTATTGGGTTTTTTCCTTCCTTAGGACTATTTTGGCACCTTCATTGTTATGATTGCTTTGTTTACATGGGTAGTTCCTGGGTTGTTGGGGTGTTTTCCGTTCATGGATCTCTTTAAACACATAAATGTGTGGCAGAGGCCGCAGTTACGACACAAGAGCATTTCTGGATGAATTAAATGTTCAAATCCCTTTCATTCATTCACTAGGCTTCCTAGGCCACAGGAGCCCGGATGCAGAAAGGGGTGGAGCGCAGATGCAGGGGAACTGAGTGGGGGAGGGGGGAATAAACAAAAAGCAAGCTTTACCCACCCGTCACTGGGCTTTCGTGGAATGTAGAAAGGAGAACACCTCACATAAACAACATTTCCAGAACGAGGTGTACGAGAGGACAGAGGTGAAACCGGGGCACCTGTGGAAAACTGGCGCCGTGGGGGTGGGCAGAGGGGGAGGGGAAGCCCCCACACTCCCCTGGCTGTGCTGCAAACGCGCGGTATCACGGGCTCCAGATCCCGGCCCACCCACATCATGTCCTGTCCACATTCAGCCTCTGGCTGTGCCTGCCTCGCACAGTAGCAGGGGGCGCGGCGCGCGAAACAGCTGCCGCCCCCCAGTGCAGGCTCCGCGCCCTCCGACGGCGGGGCCCGGTGCCTCCATCTCAGCGGCTGTGAGAACCGGAAGCCCCGCTTCCCCAATCCTGAAATATCTGCCTCCGGAAGGAAGGTGCATGTCTTTCAAGAACCTCTGTTTTGCTTGCGCACCAGCTGTACAGCCTGCTGTGTGCGTGCGCTGCAAAGCAAACGACTCCGGCTTTCCTTGGGAATGGCCTGTTTAAACGATAATGTTCAAATGCACGTCAACAATGGGGACCAGATGGGTCATAAAACCAGGTATGAACTTCGTACAAACTGGTCTAAGCACAGTACTGCAAAGGTCAATTCTCACTGTTATTTAGTTTAGTTTGTTGATTTTTTTTTTTTTGGAGGCAGGGGAAAGAAGTTTACCAAGAATTATTCAAGAGAAAAATTACTCATTTTCTTCTTCCACATTCTTGCTGGACTTAGGGAATAAATTGTTAATTCACCTTTCAGCAGCTCCAAATGAAATTCACTTTTTATTTATAGAAAACATACAGGTTGGGGTGGGGAGGGAATGGAGACGAGTGTGCTTGAACAACAACCAAAAAAAAGTTTAAAAAAAGAAAAGAAAACATACATACAAACCCCCAACTAGTTCAATGGTGTTTTACAATCAGTTGTTACGAACAGCCTAAGTCAAGGCAGCTTCAGAGGAACGTAACTGAATTAGAGAGACACCAGGCGCCCTACTAGGAGATTTCGATTGAAGGCGTTGACCAGAGACAGAGTGGGAGGGGCCTGGGGCAGCGTCCCGGTGGCAGGAGTCTGGGTTTCTATGAGCAGAAGTGGCGCTTGCATTGGATTGTGTTTCGTGGGCCTTCACTCAAGGTTTCCCAGACGAACGTGGGTATTAATCACACTCACACGAGACACAGGGGGCCTTTGTTTCAGGGCTGATGGCCAACGTGCCTTCCTGTGAAAAATTATCAGTTGAGGTTTGGCAGTTATTTTCTTAAAAAAAACACACTGTGTCTTGGAGTCACCAAATCCCAAGGCAAATTCTCTTCCTGTCTATTCCTCAGCACCTGTCCCCACAGACCTGAGGTACCATCTGTATATCAAACACTGCAGTGCGACTAAAAATATGAAAATTTAACAACAGGAAAGTATAAAGGACGAGCTCTCTGCGCTCCAGCCTCTGAAAGTACCTCCCGGCCGGCCATGTGTCCCAGTTCCTAAGCCTGATTCCCGTGAGCTGCGCCCGTGTTTTCCAGCCGCCTTCCCTCCCCCGCCCTCCCCAAGGGCAGCTCCCCTCCCCGCCCCCCCCGCCTGGCCCCGCCCCCCGCCTGGCCCCGCCCCCCTGCCGCCCACCCAAGTGGCCCTGCCTCCAGTGTCCTGGGCTCGCACGGCCTCTCCAAGGCTCCCTGAGGATGTCCCCATTGAGACGCGGGAACAAAAAGCGCCTTCTGCGGTGCCCCGGGCGCAGGGGGAGCCAGGCAGCTTTGAGGAGCCTGCCAAGGAGGGCAAAGGCCTTGCTTTGAAAAACGCCTCCCCAGCTCGCTGACTCGTGGGACTTGGCAAGCGCTGGGAACAGCGCTGCGGGGAGAAAGCCCCGGGACAGGCCTCCCTGGTGGCGCCCCTGCCCTTCTCACCGGCCCCCGGGGCACCCGGTGAGGGAGCTGGCGGCAGAGCCCGGTGAATGAAGACTGTTTGTCGGGGCCCCTCTCCTGACATGCAGCCACGCGTTAAGACACACGCCTTCCGACTGATACATAATGGCTGAGAAAAGGACACAGGCCCTGTCCTTCTGTGCCCTGTCACCCAGAAAGCCCGACTAGGCTGCTCCGCAGTCCTTCTGGTCTCTCCCCCAGGGCCCGCAGTTCCGTGACTGTAGGCCCCACGGGAGTGGCCAGGCCAGAACTCAGATCCGCCAGAGTCGAGGAAGTAAAGGGAGGAAGCAGTAAAAATCCACTGACCACAGGAGACAGTTTTCCTTTGCTGGGGGCAGCAAGAAGGCTCCATAATTCAGATCCAGAAGGACCTGTGGGGCAGCCCAGGTCGTGTTTGGCTCCAGTCAAGTGCAAGTTCTCTGTGGTCACTCAGTTTTTCCCTCCGTATAATAGGCCTAGGAGACACGGGCCCTTGTGTGGGGCCCCATAAAGCCCTCTTGTTTAATCAGTTGACCGACTACTGCACACCCAAGTCCTGAAGGCTTCACCCACGACCGCCAGAGCCGGGTGCATAATAACCGCGAGAACTCAAGGGCAGACACCTCACCCCTCTGTTTACTTTCCCTGCTGAGTCTAAACTGGTTTCAAGGTCCTGGATTCAGAATGGCCATGCCTCTTCCTGTGGCAGCCAGAAAGGGTGCAGGGGGCAGTGTTATTCAAGGTCATTTGAAGGACTACCACAAAGGGCCCTTGTGAAAATGTGCACACCCAGAGTGGAGGGTCAAGGGGAAGATTCCCGCTCGGGTGGCAAGCAGCCCAGGGCACTCATTGCCGACAGTTCGGGAGCAGAAGGATTGTGTGGTCATTTGCAGAAGGCAGCAGACCTGCTGGGAACTAGAAGAAGACGACCCTCTGGGTGGAAGACTCACAAACAGCCTCCCCGGGCCAACAAGTTCAGAAAGGGGTGCCTGGGCATCCACTCGGGATCCATCACCCCTTCCCCGAGGCTGGAGTGCAGTGGCAGCGGTCCTGCGGAGGTCAGCCCCCACCCCACATTTCCCCACCCCCGCCTGGGCACACTCACACACCCTCCGGGCGGGCTTTTAACAGCTCTGTTGCAGAACTGGAGGCTTCTGACAGGTGCAGGAAGGAACACCAAAGCATCTTCTTAAGAAGTAAACAATGTTGCCTAATTTAGCTCTATTTTTTTTTTCTGAATGGCTTTGAAGTGACAGTTTCTAGGGAAACCCCAACACCCTTTAAGGGGAGATCAAGGCCTCCCGCACGTTGTATCGAAATTAGCAAAGCCAGGGGCAGGCCTATTTGCACACAGAACTGCGCAGCCCACACGCAGGCGCGCCCTGAGCGGGCACAGCCCCTTCCCTCCCGGGAGCCTCCAAGCCGGGCCCTGGAGAGACTAACAGTAACGCACAGCAGAGGCGACTAAAGAGGGAGAGAGCAGTACCAGTGGGCACAGGGGCCAGGGCAGTTCATGGGTTTCGTGAGCCCAAGAAGGCCTCGCAGAGCCGATTCGTGCTGATGGGCCAGATTTCCTAGAGCTGCAGGGTGAGGGAAACGCACAGGCCAGCCGACCAGGAGTCAGGAGAACCTGCAGTGTGACAGAGTCCAGGGCGGAGCAGGGGCCGAGCCTGGGAGGCCACGCAAACCAGGTGCGGACCCATGCCGCTGAGGTCGGGGAGGGTGCTGGAATCTGACCTGCGTCTCAGGACGACACTGGGAGGCCTGGCTGCAGAGAAACACGCACAGCACCACCGTTAGGAGCCTCGCCATGAGCCAGGGAGGATGCTGGGGCCTGAAGGCCAGGCCAGTGGGGATGGAAAGGAGGAAGCGAGGAGGGGCACAGGAGGAAGGTGGCTTCAAGGTCTCTGAATCGATGGTGGGTCAGGGGCGGCCGGGGGGGGGGGTGCGGAGAGCAAGGGCAGACACCTGCGACAGGAACACAGGGGCCAGGGCAGAGTTGGAAAGACAAGGTTGAATTGAGTTGAAGATGCCAACAACTCAGTCTTCTAGAAATGGCTAGCAGTTAACTCACTGAGGAGCTTGCTTTAAACCTGAAAGGCAAGGAGATGGCTGGGGAACCTGGGGGCGGCCTCGGGGCCTCTTCCTTGTTCAGGTGGCTGTGGTTCTGACTGCGGGGCACGGCAGGGCAGCCCGCAGGTGTTTGGAGTTCAGGTACGTGGGGCAGCCTGGGGTGCGTGGGGACCACGCTCCCAGGGGTTGTTTAGGGGCAGCATCACTGCCTGTAGGAGGGACACTGATCCGGTTGCTCAGTTAAAAAATTAAAAGCCGAGGGGATTCCTCTAACCTTTTAACTTTTTCCTCACTAATTAACTAGAATGTCTTCATCCGTTTACCTTTTAGCTACACAATTTCTTGAACCGTTGAACTGGAGTACAGCCCGTGGGCCACCAACGAGGTCGGTGATGTTAACCCCGGAGAAACCATCCGGGTCACACAGGCCACTTCGTCGGAGGCTAGAGCAGGTGGAGAAGGAGGCACGGCTGAGGGGACAGGCGTGGCTGAGCTTCCTGGGCCAAAAATGGCTCAGCAGTTGTGGGTGGTCCCAGAAAAGGTTGTAAGGAGCCAAAGTGGAAATAGAGGAGCCCTAGGTTCTGGCCTCCTCAGGAGGGGAGACTCACAGGGAGCTCTGGGGACGCCCAGGCACAGGCTTCCTGCCCACCCCCCTGGGGCCGCCCTCAGATAAGACCCAGCGGGACCCGGCACTCCTGCCTCCGGCTGTCTCGGCACCAGGCTGCTGACGGTTTTGCTGCTCTTAACGTTTGACCCCGAGATCTGCCTGGGCTGCGGGAAATCATTTCAAAGTTGCCCAAGACTTGGCTGATTATCCCAGGAAGCAAAGACGACAGAGGCATGACTGGAAAACATAAGGAAACAAATGCAAAGTCAACCTTGCAATCCTTCCTGTCGTCAGAAAGTAACATTCCCAACTCAAACGAGCTTGGGATTGCAGGCCGGTCCAACCGAACTTCGGACATCGGCATTTAATATCAAGTGCCTTTTGGACACAAATGACAACAGAAAAGCACAGGCCTCATAAAAGCTGATTAGCAAAGACCCCGGAAAGGAAACAAAATAAAACAAAAGGGATCCGTTTTTTCTTTTATCCCAAACCTAGACTAGGCCTGGCTCTCACGTGCCTGCCTGGCAGGTGGGGGACCCACCACCGCAGGTCGCCTGGGCTGCCCTGGCTGGAGCAGAGCAAACCCCGTGTCTGGGGAGCCCCGAGGTGCCGGCAGCAGCGAAGGCGACACTGTGGGTGTGGCAGGGAGACAGACCCAGGCCTGTGGGCCACTGGACCCCGCGTGCCCGATGTGGGTCTGCACACAGGTCCCAGACCTTCTCTAAACCACAGTCCCCTCCGTCTATAACAGGGCTGAAAAACCTGCTTCATGGGTGAAAACTTGAAGGAGTACACAGCACCCGGTAGGAGGTGCACCCTGTGGGATGGGGCGTGTCCGGCAGGCGGTGGCCTCACTGCCACCCTGAGGGACGCAGACAAGAGCACAGGTGGCTGCCGCTCCCCCGGAGCACATGCAGCTCTGTCACACTCATGGCCCCGGCCCAAGGTCCCCACACGAGGCTGGAGATCCCTCAGGGACTTGTAACACCAGGGATGCTTGAGAGCCACTCAGCAGGCACAGAGAGGTCCTGTAAGAAAGCCACATCCCGGCCACCGTGGTTCCTGTGCTCAGCATGGAGGTGGGAGGCAGGGGACAGCCCAGGAAAGCTGCGAGAGTCTGTCCCTCCTCAGGGGCAGTGGGGACATGGTAGCCCAGTGAGTGGTGGCAGTAGGGCAGGGGCCCACAGTCGTCCTTCCAAGCCCCCTGGGAGCCCTGGGCTCCCTGTAGGCGTGGCTGGGCTTCCTCCTTAGTGAGTGACAAGGGGCTCTCCAGTCACCATGTGGCGGAGCACGTGCCCACTGGGAGAGGTTCAAAGCAGAAAATGCTGCCGCGGCACCTGTCCTGACGGTGAGCAGATGAAATGAGACCCTTTTATTTTCAAAGACGCGGGCGTGTCCTGGAACAGCTCTGCTGGCTTTTTCAGCAGTGGCTCGGCGTTTGCAGGCAGGAAGCGCGGTGGCTTGTGAGTGTTTTGTTCGCCCAGCAGCCATGGATGGAGCCTCTACCATGAGGCAGTTGTTCAGTTCAACGCTGGGCTTGGCGATGCACAGCCAAAATGCCGCACCTGCCTGCCCCCCCACCTCCAGCTCCTGCTGGGAAGGCGCACGTGGAAGCCCCGTTCGCAGGCTGTTGGAAGGTGTGGTCCCCTGGCTGCTGCCCTCTCTGTATTTCGACAGCATGACTTCCTGTGATATTACCCAGTATCTCCAGTCATCTCAGTCACACAGCCTGATACCTGGTTTTTTTCTTCCCTCCTGTCGACAATATACTTGACATTTAGTGCATCATCAAAAAGTTTCTGAGGTTTTGGGGCTAAAACTCTGAAAGTATTACTTCCTGTCCCGGAGACAGCTCAGGTAGCGATCAGCCCACAGCCTCTGAAGCGGGGCTGCCTCTCTGTTCTCAGCTTCACCAGAGGGTCCCGAGGATTTCCAAGCTGGCCCCAAACCCACTGCACCCACAGCGAACCCCCTGAGATATGGGTTCTGGCCCCTGCATCAAGGGTCACTGGTTCCCATCCCAATCCCCGTCCCTCAGTCCTTGAGCAAGTCACTTAATCTGTCTGCTACTCAGCTTAATAGAATTTCAGAGTTGTGCAAAATGACCTCCAGCAAAGAGCTGGGCATCCAGTCCTGTGATGTCAGAGCACAGACTCGCGCAGCCCCAGGGCCAGCAGGGTGACCTACCGGGAAACTACAGGTTTTTCCTAGAGGTCGGGCCACGGGCACTAGCCGGGCCTGCCCTGTGAATGCTAACCTTTGCAGCTGTCCAGACAGAATGGCCTCCATCGCTTGGGTGGCTCTTCCCTCCTCCTGCAGGAGCGAGTCAGGGTGCACAAGCCCAGAACCAGGCTCAGGGACAGCGCGTCAACCCACAGCTGCCCCCAGGGTCATGCTGAGTGGGCCTGAGGGGGCACAGGAAGGAGCTCAAATTATTCTGAGTGAGAGTGATTGGAGAGAGGGAGGGAAGGCTTCTCAGAGGAACTAACACTTGACTCGAGATTTTTGTAGTGGCTGAGCAGGGTCCTGGCCGAGCAGCAGAGGCTGCAGCCTTGAGACGGGGTTACCCCAGGCAGGACCGCACTGAGCCACCAGACTGGCCTCGGTGCCCACAGCGGGGCTAGAAACCCTGCTGAGCCGCACCTTCTGCTGCTGAGGGTGGGAGGACCAGGGCCACTGTTCTGGAGGGGCCACCAAACCTCACGTTGAATCTCTGCCCTTCGCGAGGGTGTCAACTCCGGTGAAGTGCTTGCTCTGTCTAAGCCGCCAGTCTCTCATCGGTAAAACGGCACAGCAGTAACCAGCTCAGAGGCCTGTTGTGGGGGCTACATAAAATAATCAATGTCAACTGTGGAGCCCAGTGCCTGGTGAAGTGGAGGGACGAGGTCCCAAGTCACGCCTTTAAAATGACTGTCTCGTGCGGTCTGGAGTCGGGCAGGACGGGAGTGGGGCGGAGAGGAACCCAGACGCAGGCGTATTTGCGCATTGTCACCGATGGCTAGTGTGGTAGACGACCTCCCACGGAAAAGATGTGATTCGATGAGAAAGTAGAAGGGGGGGTCGGAAAGAGCTTCCCGAGGAGGTGACAAAGGCATTGGGTCTTGTTAGGAGGAGAAATGGGGAGAGAACAACGTGGAGGAGGCACAGAAACATGCAAGTTCAAGGAGCACAGGAGCCAGGAGTGGAATCCAGAGCCAGGAGCCTGTGGGGAGGGGCAGGGAGGAGGCCTTCACCAGTCTGCGCTCAGGAGGCACACACACACACACACACACACACACACACACACACACACACGTAAGCGACCCGTGCGTGCGGGCCCAGGGCTGTTCCCCCTGCGATGAGCCGGGCCA